AATTCAAGAAAATCAACCACATATTCAAATCGAGTTATATGAACCTTTTACTTCGGGCATCTCCCGAAACTCATCACCACCTAGATCCATCACTAACTCTGTTATAGCACCCTCTAGAGCCACAAGGCTGGAGGGAAGAGCTCTTAGGGTTGTGTGCTCTTCCTCAGACAAGGTTCTTCGCCGTTTCTGTCGAAGCTTCTCCAATTCAAGACTGTTGTCAGAAAAAATATGAAGGAGAAGGTGAATACGCGAGACACAGAAGATCGGTGATCAGTTTAGACTCACTGAGCTTTTCTGAAGTCTTCCTCCAGGTCTATCAGACGACCTAGTCGATCCTGTAGGTTTTTAAGGGAGTTGTCTGCCATTAACTCTAACTGACAACTTTTTTGTCGTTCCCACTGCTCAGCAAAGTAATTGATGGTAAGTTTAGCAGTCGATTCCAGGTGGTTCAGTACACTGCGAGCTTCAGTCAGCCTCTTTTCAGCGATTTTCAACTTGTTAAAGGCTGACTTGGCTTTTAAAGAAATCAAGCAACAGTTATCAGTAAAATTGATTTTTGTAGATTGAAGAAGGCCAACCTGCACTAGAAATCTTGATTGCATTATTATGCATAACCTTCAGATGTATACTATCAAGACGGGTCTGTTTTGAGGACCCCCGAAGCCCAGGAATTAGTCGTGATATGCCAAACCAATTGCGCTCTAACCCTTCGCCATCCGAAAAGCCCCATCCAATATTAAGGCGTGGATTGTACTGCAGCTGGCAGCTCCACTGATGAACGTATGCGTGGAACGCACTTGTACCAAATTTCAGACGATCCTGCATCCGCTCGTCAACAAAGAGATCGTTCTGTTTAATACAACAAATATCAGTAAACGTAAAAGGTATGATGGTTGTCAATTGACCTACCTTGATGACTCCTTTTTCTAGTGTAAATCCAATGTCGTACAGAACACCCACACTGGCATCGTTTGTTTCTGTACGGGCTTCCATGATTGAATCGAAGAGGAGTCCAATCAAGGCATGTACAAAGTATGCCCTGATGGGAATCAATGAGAAAATTCATGTTTGATCCTTGACAAAATAACTCACTTTTCTCCGCTGCGAATGACATTCACAAGCTTCAGCATGTGGTCATGCCTACACGCTAAGCCAATAAGCCCAGTCTCTTCGCAGCCTTTCCAACTTGATGCGCCTCGACGATCAGCGGCCGCTGTGTGTTGGGATGTGCACGGATCCTTTGAGGGAAGATTGCATCAGTGGTTGAATAGATACTTACAACTAGACCTCGACATACCAAGGCCACATCATGTCGTTTGGGGTCAGCTGGATCGGGCTCCCATTGAGCAACATCCTCTGCCCGCATAATCAAAGAAGGAAGTGATATTGCTATCTCCTCAATCTCTCAACTTGCTGATTCGTGACGTCTTTGTTGAAAGTTACCATCAACACAGACAATAAATTGTGGTCCCTTTTGAACACCACATGCGCCTGCTGGACCAAAACACCGGGGACAATTCAATGCAAGCCGCTCCAATGCTGTAAGGCTGAGACTCTTAGCTTCGAGTTCCTCAATCATTTTGAGAATCTGTCGATAGCAGAACACAGCCGCGGAAAGAGGCTTGCGCCAAAGTCGAGGCTGGAATGACCATGACCAAAAGGTTCAGCTCAAAGTCCAAACTTCAAAAATACACGACTTACCTCAGTAGTTCCAGGGACCGTTATTAAGGGATTGTACGCATCTAGATATCGGTCAATCATGAGGGAGAAAGGTTGGATGTCGGAGTGACAGTACTCCCATGCAAGATGGTAAAATCGAAGTAGGCGTAGGGAGAACGCCGTCTCTGGATTCTTAGGTGACCCTCCCAGATAGCCTTGACGGATCAATCGCACTTGATCTGGTGTGCAGCTACAGAAGTTGAACTCGATCTTCCGGCGATCTATTGCATTTTGATATCAGCTATCCATCAATCTCAAGACTTCAGTAATTTGACTAACAAATTAAATCCAAAGTGTCTACAAAGCGAGTGCGCTTCAGTCCTTGTGTGCATGAACAGTCTTCGTTGTTGTTGAAATCATGATTCCACTTTGTGTCATGACCCCAGTCAGATGTTTCCTCAGACGACTTCAAAAACGCTATGAAGGCCTTTTGCATCAATTCCTTCCAATGTATGTGCTCTTGTAATCGTCGGTGTCTATAGGTATCTCCGGAAACAAGTTGTACATATGTAGTTACATTCTCTAAATCCTCTTGACCTGGCTCTTCCTCGTTTTCTTCAAGTGGCCAAAACCTTGCGAATAAGTCGTCTCCATTGTGTGATTGATCATCGGATTGATTATTGTGTAGGTCTTGAGCGGAGGAGTCTTCAGTAACGGTATTCAGAGCTTGACTGATTGATTCACACTTTTGCTGACCCCAGTGAAGTTGAGCTTTGTCACGTTCGGCTTTCTCGCGAAGGGCTTTGGTCTCAGCTAACTTCTTGCGTTTGGGTAATCGAGGGCCAAGAGGACATGCTATGGCTCGGCCAGATGATCCCATCGAGGTAAGTGATGTTGGTCTATCTCTAGCGTGATATAGGTACAAGCTAGTTAGGAGAAATACAATCATTATTGAAACAACAGCCCCAACCAGCTGACGGACGGTGTCCCAATTGATCATTGACCTTTTGGGAAAGCTGTCAGTGCAATGAAAAAGGGGACTACTGTGGGCTAGCGGACTCTTCGGCTCCCCCCTTTTTTGGATTTTGATTGACATGAAGGTTCTCCTTTGACTAAAGGCAAATACATGTCGGATTGATAATGCCTAGTAGCCATTCAACATCAAGCATCAAGAAACAAAAGTAAAATGATGAAAAACTTTTTGTCTTCACTAGTGTTGTCTAAGCGCATAATAGGTTCAAACAAGATATTCATTATGGATAAGTGGTAACTGTATATTGATTTTTATATTTAATTGCTGAAAGGGAGTAGCACAAGACAATCAATGCAATACCTAATGTATCACATTTAAATATCAGTGAAGTGTTCACGGTGAATATCACTGGTCTTGGAAATAGTCAATGTGGATGAATAATGTGGATGAATAATGCTGAGAAAAAACTGATGTGGAGGTTGATGAGAAATTGATGCAAAGCAAAGACCTCAATGTCATATGCTCAAGGAGTATAAACAATGATCTGGGTAGCATGTCTGATTATTTTAAGTCACATAAGAAACTGACATCAGTGGAATTCAATCAACTAACTACCCTTACCTTTCCAATCCGGGAATGCTATATGACTGAGGTCATCAGTGATATAGGTAACCAGCGTTGATGATGTATAGATGATTTAAAAAGAAGTGAGCAGGCTGTTTATTTGTATCTTCAACTAAGAATGGATCTCAGATGTCCAGTAGTATTCAGTAGTATTCAGTAGTAAAAAAAGTAATCTATGAATCAAAAGTATCCAAGAGGGGTTGTTGAGCATCCAGCACACCATATACCACAAACAAACAGTGCATTCAAGCCACAAGAATTGCTTTGACTCAGTGGATACTGTTAGAGAAAAGTTGATTGTTGTTCAGTAGTGCTTGTATTTGCATTGGAAACAATTATCAACAATTACAACCACACTTCACCAATGTGTGGGCTAATAATGATTTGATGGTGTGGTAAGCGCGGAAACACCATGTACTCTCCTTTTTTGGATGAAATTTTGGTCGATTTTCAAATTGATTTTGGGCTCAAATGCCAATATTAAACCCCCCATAAAAATCACTCAGAAGTAGACTTGCAAGCTCAGATAAATCATTAGGCTCAAATCAAAGGAGATATAGGCATGGAGAAAATTGACCAAATTCCTTATATTCCCAGAAGGGACATCAAGATGACCTTTTTTGGACAAAGTATTATTTTAAACTCACTTTGAAATTACCCCAAAAACAAGTTCTATTATTTGGTCCAGGAGTTTGGATCAATATCCACCAATCTATTGGATAAAGTTGAGTTTTTTTACAGCCCAACAACATCACTCAAACCCCTACATGGCCCTGAAGATGACCAATTTTTTACAAAGTGTTATTTTAAACTCCTTTTATAATTACTTTAGCAACAATTTTTAATATCTGGTCATTGAGGTGGGATCAATATTGACAAAGATAATTCTATTTTGGCGCTTTTAGTCACCCCAACAACATCACTCAAACCCCTACATGGCCCTGAAGATGACCAATTTTTCACAAAGTGTTATTTTAAACTCCTTTTATAATTAATTTAGCAACAATTTTCAATATCTGATCATTGAGGTGGGATCATTATTGACAAAGATAATGCTATTTTGGCGCTTCTGGACACCCCAACAACATCAATGAAACCCTTACATGGCTCTGAAGTTGAGCACTTTCTGGAAGAGTTTTCATTTTGAAATCCATGATGATGAGTCCATGAACAAGTTTTATTATTTGGTCATGGACTTTGGATCAACATTTACCAAGATATGGCTGTTTTGTTTTTTTTGGCAAACCAGAATCATGCCTGAAACCTCTACATGACCACCAACATGACCATTTTTTCAAAATTCTTATTATCAGACCCACCTTAATATTACTTGATGAACAAGATTGGTTATTTGATCATGGATTTCCAATCAATATCCACCAAGATATAGCCCTTTTGGGTACGGGTCTCACCCCAACATTCGAAATCCATATCAAAGTACTTGAGGGAAGTAGCTTTTTACTTAATTAAGGTATAAAGTAGTTTTTTTGCCCGCAAAACACAGACTTTACATTGGGTCCAATATGTTAACCTGTGTTTATGTCGCGGTTTTGGACTTGAATTTAAGAATACAAGTTTATCTGGCAGGTTTTCTACTTAATGTTGAGATATACATGCCATTGGTTTGGTCCGTCCAGATCCCTGAATGATCCAGACATAAACTCACATCATCGATATCACTCAAACAATCGCTCATCTCATCAAACTTCAACTGATCTCATCAAACTCATAACTACTTCATAACATGTCGACAAACCGCCAAAGACCCCCTACACGCATTACAAGAAACAACCCCGAACCTTCATCCCAACCACAAACGGCTCGTAAGCGTCAACGCCGCGTTCAAGTAGATTCTTCGAATGAACAAGTTTCAGCCACAGCAACCACGAATCCAAATGACAACACCTTTTCTGGAAGAGACGATACCACACCACAATCAGCTCCCAATGACTATGATCTTGACCTCCCGGATATCACATTGCAAAACTACCATAAAGTCCAGAAACACTGGCCTCTTGAACGTATTCAAGAACAGCTGAAAAAACAGACGTCTTCTAACCACCAGATCAGTGCTGCAGTTCTTGCTGAAGGACAGGCCGTGCTTGGTGCATTTGAGCAATCTCTTCACATGATCGCTATGGTATCAGGTGTCAATATTGATGTATTGAAACGCTCTTTGTAAGTACATCCTTTGTCAACTATCTATCTCACCGTCGTTTAGGACACCATCTGAACTTACTTCGTACTGAATGTTGTACTTACTTTACAGGGGTTTGTTGGGTGGAACACACGCTGACAACTCTTGGCATAGATGGCTAAGCTTTGCAATTGCAGCCAACAAAATTGCAAGTATGTACATTTCTATTCAATAAAAAAACTCGAAAACACTTTACTAATGAACACTTCACCTGCAGTGCCTGCCCGAGGGGACCCGGCTGCATCGGACATTCTAACCATGCGAAATCAAGCAAACTCCAAGACATATCGAGCCCTCAAAAAGGATGAAGTTGCTGTGTTCACTGCTGAGGTTTTCTACGCTTTGGGAGGATACCCCGACTATTCAGCAATCTCGATATCCGACGATGCGGATGTTTTTGGTGACTCCTCAGCGCTTGTTCCTGAGGTCCCAAAGCTTAGTCCTGCCGATGAAAATCGATACCGTCCCCTTTACGAAAAGCTTGTTGATCAGGACAAGGTGGCCAGGGACCGAGAGCTACATACCCCTGGATCGTCAGCGTGTAAAGAGGAGAAGCGATCTCTCCAAAGTTTCAAGAAGATAGCACTACAAGTAAGTGTATTACTAACACATTAGGACAATCTTAACTGAAGCACTTCAATGGGTGAATGATTCTAATTTTTTAGCTCGCACGTGACCATCAATTATTTGGTATGGATTATTATATCATTGCTTGTAGTAACAACAACACCGGCGAAGGATGGTGTCGGGAGTATACCAGCAGGGACGAGATTTCTCAGTGGGTCAAGACGAAGGCTCAAATGCAACATGTCTTTCCCCTCTACTGTCAACACGAGTCAACCATTGAAGAGATCAAAGCGAATGCAGCCGCAAACAGTACTTCAGCAAAGAGTAAGAGACCAAAGAATCAATCTGATATGGATAAAGCTGAACTTGTTGGCCTATTGAATCAACTTCTAAGTAGGTTGTCTGTTTGTTCCTTTGACATCATCTTCACTTCGCTCCTAGGCTGACTGCTTGCTACAAATTCTAGTCGATGTCCTTGGCGATCCTGATAAGGTTTTCCCCAAAATCCCCAACCCATTACAAGCCTTGAAGGACCGCAAGATCCCAGTTACCATCGAACGCGCCCCAGATTCCACTATGACACTAGAAGAATTCGAAAAGGGTTTCTCAGGCATGGACACCAAGGCTCGACGTCACTGGATCAGTGACATCAAGACTTGTAAGTTTACGGTCAAGAAGGAAGAAAGTCCACCCTCAGCATCAGTTGCGACCAATCAATCTGCTGAATCGAATCCCACCACTCGTGAATCCGAGACTCAAGCTTTGGCAACCCAATCGCAAGAAGCTCCACCAACTGGAACTCAAGTAGTCACTGATGCAGGTCAATGTAACAGTGGGAATGGATGCGACGTTGCTTGATGGTTTTGGGTCAGTATAGCATCAAATCAAATATCTCTGCTCGTAGCTATGCAGCTGATATGCTTCAAAATCGATTTCATATACACATCATCGCCCATAGGTTTCTCAATAGACCATAAATCTCAAAGTTTTCTGCTTATCGATTCCTTTTTTTGTTTTTTGGTCTCTCTATACTGTTTCTTTGGCTATCTTTCTGACTGTGTCGACTTTCCCCTTTTTGTTTTCTTGTCTCTATATTTTTTCTTCAGCTATGTTTTTGACTGTGTCGACTCTACAATTTTTCTTTTTGCCTCTGTCTTTTCATCTTGTTTTCTTATGAACACGCCATCATTGACAAAGTAGTTGCGTGGTAACAACATGTAGGAAGATATTCTCAAATCTTTTGTTTCATCTTTCACCTTTTCATCATTTATGTTTTATGTTTTTACTCTTTTACTTTATGTTTTGTTTATGTCTTGCTGATGACACATACATGATGTCAAATGATCAATTGTCAATTGTTCTTGTTTCTGAACTGCATGTGACAGTTCCAAATCAATCGTGATGCAGAAGTTAGACATGCTATTGACTGAGAGACGAAATTGTGAGTATTAGTACAGGATTAGTTTGGAAACGTACTGTTTGACTTCCGCCTAGTGATGCGTCTATTCATTAATGTACTGAATTTACACACCCTCGCTCTCTCGCAAGTTAATGATTTTTATACACTTGCTGATGTATACATACTTGATAAGAAGATTGACAACAAAATTGGATTGATATGGGAACTTGGGTCCTACGTTCTTTGATTGGTTTCTTTTGATTCTCAATGTCTACAAGTTCGTTGATGGTCTTGATGACAATACTCACAAGAACAGTCGCGATATTACAAAGTTAAAGCGTACGTTATAGATCAATTGTAAATTCACATTGACGTTCTTTCGTAATGAAGTCAAAACAGAGGTGAATGATACAACAAGAATGCAAAGCGAACCGGACTGGTTATGTCTGTGTGAGTTAGTGGTTGTTTGGTGTGTAAGACAAATACTAGTCCGATACGAGGCTGGTCTAATTTAAATTGATCAAGGTCTTAATTGGTGAGGGTGTCTGTTGAGGTGACCGGTCCAGCCAGTATTGACCAAGGCGAGACTGGTCTGGTTGGAATTGGCCGAAGTGGTGTGGCGTGTATACTGGTCTGCGGCTACGTCCAGAGCAGTCTGCATAGGTGCTGCAATTATTTCAAGTCAAGTTGGTGAGCAGACCAGTCTGGGTGGTTATGAGACATTGGCCAGACTGGTCTGTGGTATGCGGTGTTGAGATCTGAGTGGTGTGGTGTGCAGACTGGTCTGCGGATACGCTTTTCAGACCAGTCTGCATAGGTGCTGCGACTTTGTGAAGTCGAGGTCAAGGCCAGACCAGTCTGGATAGCTATGGAGCCTGGCCAGACTGGTCTGTGATGTTGTGTTAAAATTGGTGTGGTGTGGTGTACAGACTGGTCTGTACGTATGTCCAGACCAGTCTGCATAGGTGTTGTTATGTTTCAAGGCGATCTCGGCTAAGCTGAACCAGATCAGTCTGGGAATGACTTGTAGCGGGGTCGGGTGGGTCGTCTGAAAGGTCTGGCAAGTCTGATAAGACTGTTGGGGTACGACACCGATTGCTGTACGCATGCTTCCCTCGGTATTTCATCCAGGAGTCTGTGCGCCACAGGTGTTGATCTGTATAACTTCAGATAAAATCTTTTCTCTTTGAATCCGTCCCTCATGATCCATATCTTTAAGGAAATTTTCCAAAGAATCCAACCTGGAATGTAAAATTCTTTCAGCTTGCAATTGTTGCGTAAGCAGATCTTTGTTTGTAATACCTGCTTCTAATTTATTGCTCAAGTTTTCAAAGAGTTGATCAAATTTCTGATCAAGTTTTGCGTCTAAATTCTTTTCAAAATTGTAAGGTTCTTGTTTTACACTCAAGGTATTATTATTTTGTAGAGTAGACTCAATTTTTTCTTCGAGTAATTTCTGTACTCTATTACTCACTAAATCACTCATCTCTTTTAGAGATTCTTTGTCTAAAGGGATCTTTTTAATATCCAATAACTCAATCAACTCACTGTGGCACTTTTGGTTTTCACTGATCAATTCATTGTGTTGTATTTCAAGATGGTGGACAAGGTCTGACAAGATTGAATTGTAATTATTTAAACCAAATCCAAGTTTACCATGAACAACTTTAATATTCTCATGCATCTTCTTAACACATTCACTGAAATAAGCTAGTTGTTCTTTATCTTTAGACGACCTATGGACTACAGGGTGCAAAGTGGATATAATCTGATTAGTCCATGGTTGAATCAATTCATGATGAAGAATAGAATGAAAAAGGTGAACTAACCGTTCATCCTCTAGAGTCAGTTGCCTTGATGACCCCGTCCGAAACGCTCCCGAGTCTCTTGACGAATGAGGTACTGACCCATGGCTACTTGGGCTTTCACTACGGCTTCGGAGGTCGAAATCGAGGACTTCTTCTTGCGGTTGTTGTCCCATTGATTGGATCGACCGTTGGTAGTTCTCTTGTTGAACTGCTTGGGATGGTTCGTTTGAGGTTGAGGCATGCGAACTTGATCCTCTGGCAAGACCCTGAAGTCGAACGGATCGATCCAGAACGGTCTCCATGAGGTTGTGCCCGGTCGAAACCATCTCGTGATATGGTTGTGGATTGTTTCGTCTGGGTACCTGAATTGAAACATCAGTCGCTTCCAGATCCTTCGAGCCTCGAAGATGGCGTTCTTCCACATCTTCTTGGCGTCGGGGTGATCCTTCCCTAACTCCCTGGCCCCTTCCCAACGCACGTATTGTGCGTTCAGCGAAGTCCATAGGTAGGTCACCTCTGGGTCGATCTGCTGAGGTACTGGTTGATGGGCCTGGTTCACCTGCAATCAACGGATCAGTTGCTGATCTGATAGGTGTTGATGTAATAGGGAGGACTTTCTTACCTCTGGTCCGCGGTCTCCCCCGCCCGGTTGATCCACTGGCATGGCTTGGTCCTCCTGGGCGATCGGTTGACTCACCGGCCTCGCTTCGTTGGTCACTTGCAAGGTCGGTTGTACTAGCTCGTTTCCTTGATTCACTACGAGTCCGAGGTCGAGCAGACATGATAAAGACAAATCTTTGAATTAGAAACCAGAAATAGATTAAAAAAAAAAAAAAAAAACTTCTCAAAGCAAGGGCTGCTTACTTTGACTTTCCAAGTGGTTGACTGCCTCGATCTGGTCTATAAGTTCGGAATCAACAGTGAAAGATATGTTATTAAAGAGTTTATGTGAATAGAAGCTATATAACAAAACTTCAAAAGAAATCACCTGGGTCTTGAATGTAATCAAGAATGTTACCTGATGGTGTTGGTGTATTGGTCGCTTCTGGCTGGAATCGAGATGGTAACGGTGTGGTTTCCGATACAACTGATTGCCCGTCAATTGATGCGATGGTACCGTTGATAGCCGGGGTACTGCAAGGTGAATAGGTCCCGACTTCGCTTGCAACGTCTTGGATTCGATTCGCTAGATCTCGAAACGAAGATTGATCGTTGCACTCTAATGGATCCACTTGAAGAAAAAAATGAGAGGACGGTTCGAAAATAGGTAACAGAGAAGAGAAAGAATCAAATGCGAGATCAGACTCTGATCTAACAAGTTTGAGCGAATTAAATTACAATAAAAAACTATAATAACCACCGACTTTGTAAACGCTAATGCTTTTCGCTTGGTGGCTTGTAGGAACTGTGATCTAAAGAATAAAGTGATCGAAAAATGAAGAGATAATAAACTGAATATGACAATCTACAAAATGGTAATAGGGCGAGTGGGGAAATACTAACAAGAGTTTGATAATTGCAATACGATTAAAGAGCTGAAATCGTCTGAGGAAGGAATCGTTTAGAGGAGAACTTCGGTAGGTTTTTATAACTTCTGATCGTATTGTTTGGTGTGGTTGAGTGGAAGCTTCCAGAACGAATGAAGTCACTAATAATAACGTGATTCAAACCAAATGTTAAGGCTTTTCAATAATGAGAAAAGAAAAAAAATAGAACAAGATAGAACAAAATAGTAAGTTGGTTTAACTTACTTCACTTTTTCTTTATCAGAGCTTTCCAGTATTGAGAAAAGAAGATGCAATAATTTGTTTTCAGTATTGAATTCGTGTGTTCGATAATGGCAAAGGTATTTATGAAGGTGGTCGACGTCGCAATTTTGATGATTCGATTGGAATTGAATTATCTTAATGCAGGACGAATGGTCCTGGCGTTCGTAGCGGGAAGCCAACAACGCGTGGACCAAGCAACACTGACAATAGTCTTCGAAAGTTGATGTCGTTCGAGAGATATCAGTCCGAATGTCGTGATCGTTCGGATTATGATGATGTGGGGTGATTTCCGAGGGTAGAGGTTTGTAGAGGTCCCTGTATCAATATGATCGAGGAGCAGGACTAAAGAAAATTACCCGGCTCCGAGGAAAATGTGACAGGTGATCGAATCTGTCAACTCTTGACAGTTCTATAAGGCTAATATGCTTATAGAATTTGACGTTGAAATTTATGAGAATGGAAATGTTGAGTATATGTAAATTACACTACACTTCCTTGACACGCTGTGTAATAAACTACACACGTGCTCTGTCCACTATTTTTGTCAAATAATTCAACACAATGTGGAATTACTGTTGCACACAGACAATAATATATATGTAGCACAAATACTAAAAGACAAGTAGTATAAATGATGCTATATATGTATGTAATAGCTTGTTAATTCTCTTTTCTCAGTGTGTACATGAAATATCACACTTAATTGAAAAAAATGGGGTGTCTTTTAATGTAATTGAGTAGACTCTTCTGAAGAAGAATTGTGAATATTTCAATTACAGTTGAACACCACTTTAGTATATTGAATCTACAAACTGAGGAAATACTTGTGATCACAATTAAATGTGATCTTAAAAAAATAAGAGGAAAGAAAAAATGGAAATTCTAGAATTTGAAGGAAAAGAAATAGATATTTTTTGTATTAAAAGAGAAGTAAAGTAAAACAAAATGAGACTGGACAGAAAGAGGTCTGTAGGAACAAAAACCGGATGAGGCCCCCAAGTTGTGAGGGGTCAGCTACTTTTTGGCTGACTCTTCACTAAAAAAAGGTGAAGTAAGGGTGGAATAAGGATTAACAAAGTCTTTACTTGGTATAAACAAGTAAAGACTTCAGTTAGTTGACCTCTAAGAAGAGGGTTTAAAGCCAGTGGGATGGCTGAGTAATCCTTCAAAGGAGCTTACTCAAGAGCTCTGTTGGGGATAGAGCCTGCAGAACTTTACACTCTGATTGCTCAAAGGTTCCGCCGGATACTTTACACTCAACTCAGGAGGTATCCTATGCAATTCTAAAGCTTGGTTCTATAACTATATAGTCCCACTAGTTTAGAACCACCACTTTAAAGCTCACAAGGGCTTGAGGAAGGTTGTAGAACTATAAGATCAAGTACAATAAAATCACTATACTCAATATTCTTGGTAAGAATCAAGTAAGTTGTGATGTAGAATTGTGGAATGATAATCAGTTGGTTCTTCTTCTAGAGTGGGAAGAAGAAGAGTTTATATATTCCAGATCTAGGCGTCAACTTGTGGTTGGCGCTTAGGTTTGCTTTTCTTTGAGTTAGGTTTGGGTTAGGTTTGGGTTAGGTTTACTATTACTAGTTAAGTCCTAGTAAGTCTTGTTACTTAAGTGACTCTTGAAACTGAGCCATGAGTTGTAATTCTTATGGTTTTAGACAAGTTTCGTATAATTACATACGTATTACATATATTTACATGTGTGTTTGTTAGTCCGTGGTCCTGTACACAGGGCTCAGGGCTGACAAATAAAGACAGGCAACTCCTGTAACAGTGACTCAGAGTATCATTCCTTTACACCTGACCTCATCATGAGTCTCATAAGCCAAATTGAGGGAAAAGCAAATAGGCTTATCAGAGTCTATACTATCTCTGAAAAGTTGGCAAGGAGTCCCAAGCATGTATATCCGTGTTCAAATTAAGACCAATAATTTCCTTGGTACAAGAGTCAGAGAACTCCTTGAAGAGTGAGAGTTGACACTGAAGCAATCATTATCAACTCTGTCGGAGAATATTGCGTTGAGGGTGCTGCTCTACTCTCAAGCTCTCATTCCACTGTTTACGGGATCCCTCAATCAGTCATGACATTGGCTTGTGGACTAGGTCACCCTCAATTTGATACATATGACTTAGTCCCGATCAGCCTGCTGCAGAAGGTCCTTGGTTCCCGGGCCGCAGCAGGTCCGGCCCGCACTTTGTGACCAGTCAGCCCCCCTGGGTATCCGCAGGGGGTCACCGTTTGGCCCGTAGTGTGTGTAAATCTAGCGACGGCTCGGGAGTTTGTTGAAGACCAACACCAATTTCTTGATTCATCAATAAAACCACTTCCTCTTCAAAATGGGTCGAGCTTCGAAGCGTCAACAAAGAGAAAAGGATCAACTGAAAGAGTTAGGATTCACGAACAATGATTCATTGGATGATATACAGCGTGACCATCAAATTGAGGAAGAAGACGAAGAGGAAGAGGAAGAGGAAGAAGATCAAGTTTCTGATCGACAGTTTTCAAAGTCTTTCAATGCATTTGCTTCACTTGGTGATCGAGAAGACCAACTTGATGAGGATGATGGACCTCAAGATGGTCATGAGGAGGATGCATCAAAAATGCAGTCAACACTTCCAAAGGTAACGTAATTCAATCTATTTCTCGGGATTGATTGAATTCAAGTCTGATGTTTTGCTATCTACTTCATCAAATCGATCAAAGTAGAAATCTGGGTCACGAAAGAAGTCTAAACCCAAAAAGAAAGCAAAGAACAAATCATCAAATGTAGTCACCAACTCAACCACAAATGATCACGACGGATCAACCTCTCCCGACTCTGTAAAGCAATTCAAGAATACCAAGAAAGATTCACGCATTGATCAAAAAACACCTGAAGTTGATGAAATAGAAGAAGCCTTAAAAGAATTAGGTTTATCTCACCCAAATCTCGATCCTACGAATTCGTCATCAAACAAATCAATTAATCTTGATGAGATCATATCGAGCGCCTGTTCGATTGATTGTAAGATGTTAGATGCTGATCAAGAGTTACGTAGAATGTTTGGATCAAGAGTGGTGAGTGTCTATAAATTTGAATGTTTTTTTCTATTCAGCTTTGTTGATTTTAGGAAATGGTATTTATTTGGCAAGAAAATGACTTTAAATTGTGTTTCGTAGATTTCTTCAGCACTTAATTCTACTAGATCATCACCGACACCTTATCATCCTAGGATCTCTAATAACCCTCATCATCAAGTCAATTTACGATTGAAAACAGCTTATTTGGCCAAACCTCAGCCAACTTGGCCACCCTTCGATAAGATGTCAGTCGGTTTCAGTATGAGACCTACGAGCGCAGAAGAAGGTGAGAGGATTAATAAAACACCTTGCTCTCAAGAAGTGTGGTTCACTTTCGAACATAGCGCACGTTTCAAGGCCATCCAAGCCAAATTTATCCAGGCTATCATGTCTCATGGTTTGTTCATCTCATCTGCATCATTCTTCAGATATGTTCGATCGACTCACTTCTTTTTATGAACTTTCCATAGATCCCAATCGACTCATGGCACTCTTTCAGAGCGCACCTTATCATCCCGATACCTTATTACAATTATCAGATATATCAGCCCAACAAGGTGATACAGGACAAGCATTAGATTTCTTAAACAGAGCTCTCTATAGTTTTGAAAGATGTTTCAATCCACTCTTCAACATAAGTAAAGGTTTAGTTAGATTAAATTTCAAAATGGTTGAAAATCGTGGGTTTTTTCGTGCAATTGATAAAAGTATGCAACTCCTAGCTAAGAGAGGTTGTTGGAGAACTGCATTTGAAACATGTAAATTATTATTTGCTATGGATCCTTATCAGGACCCCTACGGGGCTTTGTTATGGTCAGTCTTTTTCGGTTTTATCTTAGATTCAGAGCTTCAAGAGTTGAAAAATGTTGACGTTCTTGTCACATAGGCTTGATTTTCTCGCTCCTAAAGCCAAGCAATACCAATACTTCTTAGATCTTTCTGAACACCTCCCAGAAATTGCAGCTTTGGAAGGATGGGGTTTCCCGAAGACTGGATATCCCGGATTTGCTTACGCAGCGGCCTTGTGTAGGTGGCATCATGAGGAAGAACAAAATAACGTGAGTCAATGCTTCGATGACCCTTACTGAGATATCCTGGTACCCAAGCCTGATCTAATCTGTACGTGCCAGTCTCATGAAACAAGTACGAAGGAATTGGAGACAGCGATCGTCCGATTCCCACAACTTACATCCTATTTAGGCGGAAAATTAGGAATATCGTTACCCAAAACTTTCTCTACTGTAGAAAGAGCATCACCACGTCCAGGTTTCATTGACGAACATCATTTGATTCATCTTCAAGCTATCATTTATGTGACGAGATCATCGGATCTTTGGAAAGAGCCTGATGTACTTAGTTGGTTTCAGACTACTGTTTCTTCTTGCCATCATCGGTTAAGTGATGATAAGGACCCAGATGTAACAGAAGGTCAAAAACTCTCGCAAGAGTATTTATCGGAATCTACTATTGGGATCTATAGAACAGTGCTCCTGTCAGGTATGATTTTCTTCGTCATTGTTGAGAAGTACTACTCGAAAATTGACACTTCTCATTACTTTGTAGATCATCAAGTATTGAAAGGTTTCTTACCGCCTAAATTTCTTGCAATGCAGAGGTATTCATTCGATCCAGCGCCACCTATCGGTGGTACCGCATTCAATGCTGAATACTTTAACATTCCGGATTCATCTAACAATGAACCGCGTCAAGATGATAATCATCAAGATGACGCAAGAGATGAAGGAGGTTTTCAAGAAATCTTTGATCGGATTATAGAAGGTGTAGCTGCGATGGAAGGTGGAAATCGACAACAAGGACATCGACAACAACTCAAAGACCAAATTGAACAAATTCAACTTATATTGCAAACTGATGAGGGCAATCTTACTCCAGAAGCAAGAGAGGAGCTTTTAGAATTACTTGAAGAACTTTTGATAGGATTACGTGAAGGACAAGATGCGGATGATGGGGGAAATGTACAGGACGAAGAAGATGTGGTGGAAGATGGTCGAGAGCCTATGGATCGAAATATAGCAGAGGAAGGTGAAGCTGAGTCTTCAGACCGAAGGAATACTGATAGGATTGCTATGCCTGGATCTTTTCAAGTTGATGATAGCACGTCTGTTAATGAAGAAACTCATGAAACTCAACCTGGTATAATGGATCGACTATGGAGATGGGTAGGATAAATTGGTGATCGTTTGAAAGTTTTTCATCGATCGATTCATTGATTTAGCTCTTCTCGAATCTAATCAACATATATATATATGACATTTGGCTTTGAATGAATTTCTGTACTGTATTGCAAATAAGATGAAGAAAACCAAAATTAAGTATTAAATCAAGTTGCAGCTCAGCCTAACTTTGTCAACAGAAGATAATCTTTGCATTGCGAGTTTACATGATGCTTCTCTAAGTCTTGAAAATATTTCTGGAAATATACCAAACAAACAATCAATTGTCATATCAAGGCCACTAAATTATTTTCTCTTCTGATATCTCCCCGTGGTTGTATGTATCTCACTTTGAATTGAATCAAAGTCTCAAAAAAGGCAATGTTTTAACAACCTTGATCACATTAGATTGCTCAATACTTTTTATCTTTTGCGGTGCCCTTGACTTTATATCTTGTACCATTTACAGTCTCTGGGAAAAGGTGAATTCACACTTCTATGTGTCTTTTTGAAGGGGCACCACAGAAGCTTTCTTCAATTCTCATTCGAGCTCAATGATTTATTGAATAATGCTTCAAGTCCTCACGTGGAAGGCGTGGGACTTTGTTGAGTTTAGTTGTCATAAGGCCCTAAACTCATCAGAGTCCCACGCTGTCGCCGGTCGCGAGCGACAGCGTGGGACCTCGTGGGACTCTGATGAGTTTACACCAGGGGGTAATGGTCCTCGGCCTCGGCCGGTTCCTGTGACGATTTCAAAGGTTTCGTCACCAGAACCGCCCAGGAAGGTGTGGGACCGGGTTCGCCGAAACCGTTTCGGACCCCGTTCCACGACCGCTTCTGGAACGAGCTGCATCTCGCAACCGTTTGAGAACGGCTGCAGAGGCGGTGGTGAAGCGGTTTGTTTGACACCGATTGCAATCGGTGTCGAACTGTCTCTCCAAGCTAAACCGATTCCCAAGTTTTTACTCATGATCAAATCTAAAGTCAAAAAAGATATGAGATGGTCGAAAATGAGATTAAGATAGCCATTTGAATATCAAAACAACTGATTAAAGTGGATGCTAAAGACATCAAACTGATTAAGATCGGTTTGAAATAATGAGTTGAATGGAATTGGTTTGTAAATGATAAGATGGAGATTGATAAACATAAACTTCCTTCAAGGTTAAAGAAACAAACACCTAAGAGTTCAAGATAAAAATATAAGAGATGATGATGATGAGGCGGATGTTGTTTTCTAAAGTTAACGATCAAAAGATAAAGTGTAAATGAAATCGAAAAACCAAAGCCAAGTGAAGCGATTGATTTCCTTGAAGACTTAAAAACCAGTCAAGAAAGGTGAAAGAAACAAATGGAAGTACGATTCGAAAGCATCATGGTGTGACATACGGGGTTCCTTATTGTGGTTGGTATAGTGCAGAGGTGAAAGAATGGGGTTTGCCCCGTGGCTGATCAGTTTTGAGCCTGTGTTCAAGCCCCACTGCCTGATTCCCTTTTTGCAAACTCTACGCCGTAACTCGGAACGTTCCACGGACCGTGTTCGAGGGGTCACCGAGGCGGTTTGCTTGCACCGCCAAAAACGGTGATGGGAACCGCATTCTTGCGGTCCCATCTGAAATCGATTCAGAAACGTCGCAAGTAGTTTAAAAACGTGACGGCAAGAAAACGGTTTCAAGAACCGTTTTCTTGCCGTAGGTTTACCCCCTGGTGTATAAGGCCCTCGCTGCGCTCGAAGCGTGGGACTTGAATACATAAGTTTACACCAGGGGGTAAGTGACACGTTCCAAATCCAGGATCGAAAGCGTTACAGGCACGTTACGACATTTCAATTGTTTTCGAACATGCCCGGTAGGTGTCCAGCTTTTACGATCCTGTTCTCGTTTCCTGAACGGAAAAGTCACAGGACACGAAACGGTCTCGAACCTGTTCCAAAGACTGTTCTAGCAACGCTATGGACTGTCCCCCGAGAACGTCACAGGAACGTTCTACCAAGGCAATCGAATGTCAAAAGGATAACCAATCGGGTTTGAACCCTCAACATAATCAAGTATAAAAATGACACGCAGATTCAGCACCCTACACAGTTCGACCAAACATTCCTTGCAGACCATGTTGGTTTAGGGAATATAGGTTTTTGCGCACAACACTCTTACACAAGCTTCAATGAAACCATTGGACCGATGCCCATTGATAGTTTCATGGATGAGTTAGTGATCCGCTTCTGAATGAATCCTACAATCAACAACCTTCTTTGAAGCAAAGAAATGCTCAAATTCATGCATTGAGATGGTGTTTGGCAGATATCATGTGTGAGTTCAATGAGACCATATCCAGCCAAAACACATCACTTAGAAGAAAGAGATGTGAATTTTCATCCTAAAGGTATTTACAATCTAATTGCTGCTTTGGATGTCCGCATCAAAACAAAAAAGTCGCATTATAATCAAAGGTAGGTAAATGGTCATTCAGGTACCATTTGAACTCTTTGACCTTTGTGCTGTTCATGGTGACTGAGCAAAGGTGCTTCTGTAGGCCACATTAGACGTGTGAAATCAGATTCAGCAAGAGTGTAGATATCGAGAAGGAAGTGTTCGAATCGAATCCAGGTTCGCAATGGTAAAGACAAGCTGATTAGAAGATCAATCAGCTGTGTAAGTTCCAAGTTGTGTCTTTGAACTCGAAGGTACATATACCTACACCGTCTCGGTCACGATCCTCATCCCGTTTTGACATCTGGATCGTTCCTGAGACGGAGGTGGGGACCAGTCAAAGTACGTGTGTTTGTCACACGTGCTTCAACCGGTGTCAGGCAAGGTCCAGTCACTCTTCTCAAAAAATTCGTGACTGGAACCGCTTGACAAGCGTCATCGCATTGGTATTTCTGGACACCTATCCAGAACCATCGGAGGCCAAGGAAATTTACCCCCTGGTGTAGGATTTCGTCTCCAGCACTGCCACTAGCCGAGGCCGAGCCTGTTTTTTGTCCGTTCCGAAATTTCTGGACAGGCTTCCGAGGCTCAAACTCTACAAAGTCCCACGACGACTCTGGCACGCTTTGAGTGCGTTGTTCTATCCGAGGGCAGGGAAGTTCACACCATTGCGATTGCGTCAAAGGTCTTTGAGCTTTGTGAGAGAAAAATCTGGATTGGAAATGACAATTTCAGCTCACGTGAAGCTGTTCGAATGTCTGTGACAGTCCGTGACTTGTTATCCTTTGCTTTATAAGCCACTTGATCTTGATCAAATTATCGACCCCACTAGATTTGCTCGGCGCACACATTGGTTACTGTTCAAAGATGAAGTTCATGATTATAGTTCTATCATTAATATCTTTATATACTTCCTTGAGTTTTGGCCATAGCCCACCCAGCCGACTCGTGGCCCGTCAAGGTAAATGTACCCCAATCACTGACAATGATCCCAACACCAATATTTTCAACTGTCCGGATGATCATCCATTGGATTTGAATGAGTGTCAGCGGTAAGTGGTTCAGAGCTTAAACCAATTCTCACCCGATACCTTCTATTTTCTTTTACCGACTTATTCATTTTTTGCTGGGTTGTTTCAGCGCCGGTCAGATGATGACGCAAAATGGATGGAGTAGTAGTGGGTATGGAACCTGTGGCGTGAGTGACAATCTCGTGAACAAATCATTGTCGCGGACGATCTGATCACTTTCTCGAACACTGCGCCCAGGTCTTGTACTTTGGGAAAGACACTCAGGGGAAACTGGCACCGGTAGTCCCATATAAAGAGTAAGCCTTCATCCGTGTCCGTGAAATATATGTCGCTGATTTTTGTTTGCTGTATCCACTCTTTTCAGCTTGACTGCGACCATTATGGAGAACACACTCAACAGCTTTACTGTTGACTGTTGCCCAGAAATTAAAACCGAGGTATATCACTCGTCCTGATTTGTCTGATTTCCATCCTAGTTTGGCTACATATGACTAGGTTTTGTTCTAACTCACAGCTTTTTATCATTTTGACCTTGATTTTTACAGTTCGGGCACCCAGTCATTGGCGATCTAGGTCTAGATCCCGCGACTGCCGACGGTTTAGCCGTTCTATGTGTTGGCCGGTTAGCCTCGTCCTATCCGGATGCTAGGCCCCTGGACAACAAAGATGTTAGCGTCTTGATAAAAGATAATAAGAAATACTTGAAAGGTTAATTGCCTCCGACTCTACAAGAAAAATTCAAGACCCTACTTTCCCCTCTATTTGTAGTCTCATCCCAGAATACATGCTCCAATTTTTTTTACTTCTTTTTGCACAAGACCCTTGAGTTATCAAACTTGCTTTCCCAACCTTTCTTGCCTTGTATTGAGCACCTCACATTTGGAAATTCTTTGTCTAGCACTTGCCTCAGCATAGCATGTCTTTAATTGTGAATTATGCTCCCATTCAATAAGAAGTGTTTCACGTAAGCATAAGTCTTTGCCCAACCATTGCTATGCTTAAACAGGAACTTCACAGTATGGAACCCAAAAGCCATGTGTT